ATCCTGGCTAAACCATGAGACTGATCAAGTGCATTCCTGAATAACAATGGGAAGATACATGTAAAACAACAGCAAGTGATCACAATTGATTGATCACTGGGTGGTGATCAATGTCATGTGTGTCATGTCCTTCTTAGTGCATATCGAATCCTGCCCTGTTGACTACCTCCAACCATCATCTAATCTCAACATAGTGCCCGCAGTGTCGAGTCACCTAGACTAGTGGCCACACTGCAACTTGTTCGATGGCATTCGATCTGCACTAAGAAGGACTTGACACACATGACATTGATCACCACCCAGTGATCAATCAATTGTGATTACATCTCAGTCCTACAGGAGGTCAGACGCGGCCCAGACAGCTCAATGGTAACGTCTCTGACTGTGAAGCTGGGTGACACGCGATCGAGTCCGTCAGGGAGCGCCAGTTCCCTCAATATTACAGGTACGCCTTGCTGACGAGTACCAATTAGCACGAAACCTGGGTCCAGGGTTTCCTGTTGACTACCTCTAACCACCATCTAACACCAAGTGAACTTAATCTTTCAATTTCTTCCACTTTAATATTCTTAATGTTGGTTTCTTGGTTCTCACATAGGTGATATTTTATTAAAATATCTTACGAATTCTCTTATTAAACTTTAAGTAGTCGAATGACCATTTAACCACATGTTTTTGATTCCTACAAATTATTATTTTGATTATTATAATTCCCTCCTCCTCCTCCTCCCCCTTCTTCTTCTTCTTCTTCTTCTTCTTCTTCTTCTTCTTCTTCTTCTTTTTCTTCCTCTTCTTCTTCTTCTTCTTCTTCTTCTTCTTCTTCTTCCAAATACTCAATTCATTATTTGACATTATTCTTATAATCAGTTTGAAATTATAGAAATATTATATTACACCACCATTCGAATGTTGGCAGAAGGCCTATGCTCCTCCACGAGGGGTAACAAGCGTAAGTTAGTAACTACTCGATTTGCATTGTCTTATGGTTTTAAATTATATATATAAAGAACTGAGTGAGAATAAATTTCTTCTTTCTATTCATCTGCTTTAAATATAGGGGTTGAACAATTTTAGTCTATTCGCTCATTGCAAACCATTGAGATACATGGATAGGGGGAGGGTAATCGGTCTTCATTGTTGAATATACACTAACTACAACAAAACAGTTGTTCAATTCATTGAAGTGATTCCAGTAATTAGAAATCAACTAAGATCCATTATTTTTTATATTGATGAAAGCGAGTTATTATAACTCTAGTAAACGATAATGTTTTTAGAATATCAGCGTTCCAGTTTCCATCAATAATTCAGACTAATACGTAATCTAGAACATGTGATTTTTTGCAGTCGGCATAAACTAGACAGAACAGAATTTCAATTTTGATGGAGTTTTGTTCTTTGAGCTGGATGGTTTGGTGATGGAGATTTCATCGTTCTTCTGAACGATATCATCAGCACAAACTTCAGGTAAAGAGAACAAAACTCCATCAAAATGGTCCATCTGAGATACAAATCTTCTCCACCATCTAAAAATCATATGAGCATAGTACGCTTCTCGTTGTTCGAAAATGGAGACATTTCGCGAAAAGACAGGCTTTCACTCAGGAACAATTGTATTTTCTCCACGACTGTCTTCGTCAGCATGTTCTACTAACAAGTGTATGTTACAGACCTCCAATCAACTGCCCAATGGATGGAGAATAACTGAGCAAAGTGGAAGAAAAATGGTACATCTAATGATAAGTGATGTGCATCACAGAATTCCAATTCAAAAGTTTTACTCTTGGATTCGAATAATTCCTTATACTATTTTACCAGTCCTATTTGGTCATTAAACAGATAAATAAATACAATATTGCATTTAACCATAATCTAGTGAATGAGAACGGAGGTGAGGAAAAGCAATTTATGTTTTTATGCAAAATTACGGAGCTCTTTCATAAAATGTGAAAACCATACATTAATTATTTCATTTGCAAATCTATCAATTGTCTCTTATATCCTTCATGTTTCTTCCATTTCCCAATTCCTTTATGTCTCCCTTTCTATTTTCTTCAGTTCAATCTTCTCAACCTTTTAACAGATATTCCATTTCTGATCGGTGTTACATACTACTTATATCTGTCAACATAAGTAGCATGCAACACAATAATACTTATTAAAACCATGTTAATTTTTCTGATTCATAACTCGTCACACTTGCTAATGTTGATCGACTGATGTGTTTGAGCTATGTGGTACAAAATGTTAACTACTGCCTTTTTTCAAGTACAATATTGGCTTGTGTAGATGTAGGTTGAAAGAAAGTTAAGGATTGTCAAACCAAAATATTATATCAGTCTATGAACTAACTGACTTTCAACATCCACACGATTACCGTGAACCATTATTGGAGAAGTTGAACAACATGGCGTGGAATCGGTCACACACATCGGCCTTTCCTTAACTCTGAAACCTTAAAGTGGTTTTATGCATTTTACTACTGATTCACCTTTCCCTCTACTACTACTGTAGTAAACAGAACACGGGTGGGAACAACCGAATGTATTCAACACCGAATTACAGGACTTGTTAGTAAAATCTAACAATCATAAAGTAAATGCTTAATTTGCAAAACGTCTACCAATTGTCTCAAAATGACTCAGACTTCATTGGTCTTGGATTTTCATACAAATTGCATTTTGCTTCCATTCTTTACTGTTTGATCCTCTTGTCCCTCTGCCTTCAGACCTTCTGTTTACGACTAACATCATATACTACTTATGTCAATATAAGTAGCACACACCACATTACTACTAATAATAATATTTTTACCACTTGTGCTACATTGGAATTTCTCTTGATAGTTTCGTTTTGCTATGCTGATATCATGTGACAAGATGAATCAGAGTACACATATATATACCAGGTTCTATATTGCTTATGACTGTTTCATATTTATGTTCCAGTTTCAAGGCCTCATTCCTGATATTATTTTATGATAATTGACTATCAAGTTTGGAATATGAATTCGTATTTGCATATAAAACATTAATTAGATAATAAATTATTTGTGTTACATTTCTTATGAAAATGCTAATAAAATGTAAGGTCTATTGTTTCAACATCGTACAATGTTATGTGTTAAGTCAATCGTTATACGGAATGGTGTTCATTGGGAGTAACTCACTATTAAAATAGAAATGTATATAGTAGAAGACATAAACCATCTTCTAACATCAGTATCTAGTAAGCATAATTTTCTAAGTATCTATAAGTGAGATCTTTTAGTTTGTAAGAACTTATTTATTTAGCTAAATAAATCATTTAAAGTATACATATTCGTAAACATGTTCAATAATCTATGGTTTGTTTAGGGAAACTTAATCGTTTAGTTTTAATGTCAACAATGTTTCATTCCCCGGGTAAATATCAGGTTATACATAACAATAATAATAAGAGTAATTGTGTCAAAGACTACAACCAGAGGTCTAAGAAGCTGCTAACAAAAATTAAGACTTGAATGATATTAGCCCAACCACCGACTGCCTCGACGTGCGATGTTCAGTGGTATAAGAGTAGGTTGGAAGAAAGCTAGGAGCGGTCAGACCAAAACATGGCACAAATCCATGAAGTCACTGACAAGTGGACTGAGCCATGTTGGTAGGTTAAGACTACCTGGTTGGGATCCGCGAGATGATAGCAATCGATGGTTAGAGACCTTGAATGATATGGCTCAAAATCGTTTTCAATAATGCAGGTGCATCCACTCTTTGTGTTCTCCCGAGTTCTAATCTGCTGAATAGTTCATGTCCCTTGTTTGTCCTCTTTCTAAATTTATTTCACTGGATTATACTCTTCTGAATAACATCTTCAAATCCCAATCTTTCCGATTACTGCTTACACTTTTACTACCTCTAGAACTACGGGATTTGTATTGACAATTAAATCTCTGTGGTAATATGGTATGGCACTCACGTACGAAATTCTACGTTGTTGATGACTGACTGACTGAGTCAAAAGCATTCATTTGTAATAAATATTCTTCGTCAAAAGATTATATATTCAATGCTACCAAATCATTTGACCGAATGTACTTGGTTAAAAAGAATTTTTCACACTCAACACTCAACGAAGTAGATCATAAGTCAACAATACTAATATTCTATAGTCAAATCATTTTGATATATTGAATAAAATCTAACTCTGCCTGGAGCTCCTCTAGGGCTACTGCCGGTCTCAAGCCTAGATAAAAGAGGAGGAGGATTGAGTATGGAGTTAACAACCTCATCTCGTAGAAAACTAACTCGCTAAAGAAAAAAAAAACGCCAACTAGAGGAAAAATAATAATTCAATGAAATCTACGAATTAATAATTACCTGTTCCAATCATCAACAATAGATTCTTAGGTGCATAGAATATTTTTATTATGTGTACATCCACACAATGTACAGTATAAAATAAAAGGAGCATGTTTTTAAAAAAATAATAACCGAATTCCAAATATAATCCATTTAAAAGTCAATATCAGATAATTGTATACAAAATGAACATTCTAACATTGAAAGTTCAATTGTAAGCAAGCAAAATAAGGCATAAAAAATAAATATGATTAGCAGAATGTAACCATTGATGAAATCAATAATCAATTAACCAAATTCCAATTATTTAAGGTAATTAAAAATCAATACTGAAAATAATATTTTTTTTTGGTTAGCGTACACATCAAGGGAAGCACCTAACTGTGTCACAAGACAAGCCCTCAAATGGAATCCTGAAGGCCGGAGGAGAAGAGGAAGACCAAAGAACACATTACGCTGGGAAATGCAGATAAACATGAGAAAAATGAACAAGCATTGGATGGAACTAGAAAAGAAGGCCCAGGATAGAGTGGGTTGAAGAATGCTGGCTGGTGACCTATGCTCCATTAAGAGTAACAGACATAAGTAATTAAGTAAGTAAATAGTCAAGAAAAGGATTAAAGTAGTATTTAACAAAATAATTAAAATACACACAATTAATTACATTCCTTGAGCATCAAAATAATCTCGCATTTCAATTAATAATTGTTTTGCATCATTAGTTCGATTACCAATTTCATAGATTGCAATTAATAAAGAATTTTTTGTTAATAAACCACATAATTCATATTTACCAATATTATATTCATTTGTATTTGGTCTTGTATAATATTGAATTATATCCGCTAAAAGTACACCAGTTTCATCATCTACATCTTTATATAAACAAGAATCCATAGCTATATGAAAGTGTTTATCTATAATTACACGATCTGCTCGTTCAGCCTTATTATCATGATAGACAGTTGTAGTCGCCGTCGTCGTCGTCGTAGTAGTAGTAGTAGTAGTAATAGTAGTAGTGGTAATGATAATCATTGAAGATGTAAAAATATCGATTATAAACAAAATTACAAAAAAAGAAAAGTTATTTATAAAATGTAGATTAATTACATTGTGGAATAATTTCATCTAAAATATTACTGAACTTTAGCGAGTATCTATTGAATAGGTGTATCATTTTAGTTTGAAACTCATCAAACTGTATACTCATAGTTGAAAATAGGAATCATCTTATCTTGATTTTAATTGTTCGAAAGTAATCCATTCACTGTGAGATCTATGTTCCATTCAATAGTGAAGTAGTGAATACTAATGGAAAGTTTCAAGCTAAGTGAAAATATTTGTTCAGTTGTGGGGCCCTTTTATTTGTCGTCATTAAGGTCGGACGATGTTGTCGAAAGGGCTTTCCACATTAGTGGCCCGAGATCTGACTTCAAGAAGATCGTAATGAATGTTTGTTATTGAAATATATATTTCGCCTGTTCTCGTATATAATCATTGACTTAAATCGCGTTAGTCAATAACGGAATTAAATAAGTTAAATAATGAGAATGAACTTTTGAATACATATATTTTGTATATAAAGTGAATGGAATAGAACGAAGCAAAATGACGCGCAGTGGAGATGGCAGGTAAGCTAACTCCCGTTTAACCGAGCGTTAATCAATATTTATAGTTACACAAAAGTAAGTTACAGACACTTGATGAGTAATTGGATAAGAAATGTACACACACCTACGCGCTCATATAAAAACAGTTAAGATTGATAAGCGAATAAATAACAAGGTCAGAATGTGACTCAAGTAGAATGAATAGGATGGGCTGTCCGAATGCTTGAATAAGGTATATGGGCTTAACATAATAACCGGCACTACACAATGTTCTCTAGTCTTCAATATTTGTTTGGATGAAGTCAGTCCGGGTTTTTTTATTATCTTCAAATTGAACAGTATCAAAGGTAACTAGCCAAAAAACAGTGTTAAACATTTGTCTTTTTAATTGTTAATCTAACCGATTATGTTAACTATTTCATACTAGACACAATGAGTTCCAAAATATTTATGTTTTATTCAGATGAAATCACCTTATTACTAACCTCAATGGAATGTATCAACTTTCTCTATCCAACTTCTGACTGCCTGCTTGAACATCTGGATTACCTATTCCTGCCATTTAGATATTTCAAAAAGTTACTCGTTGTTGTTGGGTTTTAACACATCATTAATTCTATTAATTACATAACCTTAATAGGTACGTTTCTGAAAAGTTTACAACCTTTCGTTGTACAAGTCACAAAAAATGACAATCAGATATATCGTGGTAGGCGGAAATATGCATTGAAAGGAATGAACATTATTCATATATGGATTCCTGAACTGCTTACATCTAACTGGCTATCACTCACTATTTATCGTCAGGGTCAGTCACAAAGTTAAAAAAGGAAACTTATTGAAATACTTCGTTCTGAGGATTCTATATTGTACCAAAAATATAATATTGAATAAAGCCTCTAATAATAATGGTCATAATAATAATAATAATAATAATACACACTTCTATCTAGTCACCACTCTAGTTGTTATTATATAACTTTTAAGTTGTATACCCACCAACGCTATTCATGTTTCTTAATGCTAGATATGTCTGATTGTTATAAATTTTCAAAATCATCAGCCATCTTAAATTGGTTCGCTTTACCTTGTTGAAAGAAATCCAACTTAAGGAAGTTCACAATACAGAATTATACCGATAGAACTTTCGAAAATCACTTTCAATTCCTAATCTTGAATAGTTCACATTGGAGTTTAATCACAATGCTGTATTATAAAAAGAGATGAATGGTGGCTAGCAGTGAATTCCAGGACAGGTGGTTCATCAGCTGGGTATACCTGTCGAATCCCAGAATTGATGTTCAGTTAGGCGTACTAACCCAATTACCATTCACTTCAAATGCCATCTCATCATATATCCACTTAGCTACTTAGTCCGGATGGCCACTAGATTGTACAATGGGGTCGAGTTTAATTCATTTTTATTAGTTTTTTTAATCTTCCCATTGACTTTTAGGAATGCATTTAATTTAAGCATTCCCCATAGAGTGCAAATATGCTAAAAAGAAACATATAACCTATAGTTTTAAGAAATTATCTATCATCAGTTATTCGGGATGGATAAATTATAACTAACAATGAGACTCGGAATGCGCGTTTCGTCCCATATATGACTTGTTGGCTGAATATGCCTGTCACATTTCCGTGTTGATGTTCATATCCAGATATGAACACAGTACCTTTACTTTCAAACACCAAGTGCGATGGTCCCTGGGCTACCAACTGCAGAAATATCAATCTAGATCTTTAATCAATGATATTCATTTACTGTCAGTTAATAATCAGTGATTTTATTTAACATATGCTCTCAAAATAATTGACATAATTGCAAAATTGATGTCAACAATACTGAACTTTAGTATCAACAACGCATTGTTTGCCGATATTACAAACTATTCTTCTTACAATGAAGTTAGAACATGTCACTGTGTGTTTAACCGTTCTCGTAATAATAAATTGCTACTACGATAATCAGACTGACTCTGTAAATCCAGTGTTTGGGTAGAGAAAATATAATCTACTGAACATTTTGTACTTTAATATTTAAGGGACATATATCATAAAATAGATTAAAGCCCAATATCCACCTTCACATTCATATAGCTAATTAAATCTATCGAGATGTGTGCATTTCCATCCACTAAGAATAACATGTAATAGATAATAACAATTTTCCCTCCACCAGTCTACCTATCTCTGAAACACAGTATGAATCATTCCCTACCTTAATCATATGTAAATATTCACTTCATGTGCGTTTGTGTCTTTGTTTCATTTGAAATTCAACTTTGTTTTCGCCTTAATTCACATAATGATGACTTATTGACTCTATTTTTTGTACAGCAAGACTCTACTATCCTTTGCAATATATATAACATAGGATTTCCCAGTAGTAAACATCCATAACCTAGCTACACTGAATTGAATCCAGTACCCTCGATCTCGTGCGAGAACGATTAACCTCTAAACCACTGAGCTGACACGCAGCGACCTTAACATCTAACTTCAACTACTGCATGATTTCAACAGTGAAAATGTTACAATCTCCACAATTCGCGTAGGCTAATCATATACGTGTATCAGTTTAATTCTGTTAGCCATAACAATTCGCAATGTTTCTGTCCACTTATAAGTACAAAACTTGATAAGAAATCATTGAAAATACATTGTGATCTTCATGGATTAGGATGAGAAATACTTTATTACAATATGTGAACTATTCATGATTTATACTTTTTATACTACTAACAAGTAGTTCAAAATATTTTTTCTAAAGTTTTTCTTTCCTAAAGATTTACAACTTCCATCATTTGGACGTTCGGCGTCGTTTTTTTTTTTAAAAAAATTTGTACTAGGAACTTGAATGAGAATTAGTATACAAAAATCCAAGGAAACCACGCCCATGTCTATAGTAGTAATCAATATTATCTAGCGCATTAGCTCTGAATACATTCCAACTGAATAATTTGTGGGTTAAAATAGTCTATTTTTAAGGGTAAAATATGAATCATAACTGAATCATCGAATACATTTGAAGTTTGTGTTAAATTTCAGCAGTTTTATTATTAAAACACACTGTCATTACGTTTATCAGATTTATTTTTATACTAGTAAAAATGTGTACTGCTCAAATCTAAGTGAAGAAGCTACTTACATTAAGTCACGAAACGTCAGAAATACAATCGTTCTACACTGTGTGATATAAGAAAACTATATCTATTACCAGGTGATGTGGTTTCGAAGTCCACAGACAGTATCAGTTTCCTCAAGATTGAATTTTTATATGAAAACTAAAAAAATTGAAGACAAACTGTCCGTTGGTACGAAAAAATTAATTGGGCACTACTTATTCACTTTGTCAGTAGTACATAAGCTCAATTTAAATAGTAGGAGTTATTGATGATTAAGTTCAAATCGACAAATAGTGGATTATTAGAATAGGTGATTTCTGGAGACGGTATAATTTTCATAGTTTTAAACCATAAACTGCTCTTAGTTAGGCCACGATTAAGGACTTGGAATCATAAGACGGTCGTTTAGTCTTAGTATAGGAATCCTTTGCAGTGTGTATCCACGATCTCGCTAGCGGGAATCGAGGTTGAACGTTCGCGTGCAAGACTGAGGAGTTCCATACTAGAACAAAATGATCGTTCAGAGCTTCCATTTTTTCCAATGGTAGTTCAGCTAAAATAGTGAATTGCGTTTTTCACATTTTAGCTTGACAATAAATTATGCCATTACAAGAAACATCCATTTGATATTGTCATTAATAAATTAAATATCTCTTAATAAAAATCAAAGAGGCTTATGGTACAGTACTATTTTTTCCCCCACACTTTGTACTTTAGACGTATAACAGAGCTCATCGTTCATAACTCGATAGAGTAATGATACAATTTGACAAACAGTTTTTGTTCTGTATGAAGTCTTTATTCTGAGTATTTCAAAATGAAATAATCATATAGCATAATACTGGTCCATCACAGATTAGACACAATTTTTACCCGTGTCAGAGTTCACAAAAGCTTTATAATAGCAATAAGGACGTACTCTGGAAGAGAACTTTAATTTCAATAAAAGTCCGTTAACCAGTGGAGTTCAATTGCTGTGAATCAGGTATCATCGATGCCATTAGATAATAAATGACTGGGACTATCAATCATGAAATATTAACTCAGCGATTCGAATGTTAAAGGTTCGCAATGAGATATGCATAAACTGGGTGCACATTTGAAACCACACTACTTAGAAGTTCATACTGAAACAAAACAGCTGTCCAGTTTTCCTTATTTACTTACGCCTGTTACTCCCGATGGAGCATAGGCCACTGATCAGCATTCTTCAACCCTCTCTGTCTTGAACCCGCCCTTCCAGTTCTATCATATTGTTGTTCATTCTTCTCATGTCTGTCTCCATTTCTCGACGTAATGTGTTATTTGATCTTCCTCTTTTCCATTGACCTTGAGGATTCCATTTGAGGGCTTGTCTTGTGACGTAGTTCGGTGCTTTCCTTAATATGTATCCTATCCACTTCCAGCGTTTCTTCCAGACTTCTTCCACCGCTGGAATCTGGTTTGTTCTCTCCCATAGTAGGTTGTATCTTCTGGACGATGGCTTTCGTAGTTCTCCAAGTTTCTACCCCATACAGTAGAACTGTCTTGACATTTGTATAGAAAATTCTGACCTTGGTGTTGTTTGACAGAAAGTTGTTTTGAGTTCTAGATGTTCTCCAATTATAAATATGTTGCTCTTGCTTTACCTATCCGCGCCTCCATATCTGCATCAGATCCACCGTGTTCATCCATGATACTGCCCAGACATGTAAAGGTTTTTACATCTTCCAAATATTCTCCATCAAATGTGATTGGATTGGTGCATTTTGTGTTGTATCGGAGAATCTCGCTTTTCCCTTTGTGTATGTTAAAACCTACTGCTGCTGAGGCTGCTGCTACACTGGTCGTCTTCTCCTGAATTTGTTGTTGCGTGTGCGATAGAAGAGTCGGATCATCTGAGAAGTCTAGATCGCCCAGCTGCATTCTAGTTGTTCACTGTATCCTATGCTTCCCTCCAGATGTTAACGTTTTCATGATCCAGTTCATCACCAGGAGAAAGAGAAATGGTGAGAGTAAGCAACCTTGCCTGACACCTGTCTTTACTTCGAACGAGTTTTTGAGCTGTCCTCCATGCACGATTTGCAGTTTATTCCATCATATTAGTTTCATATGATATTGACTATCTTCTCAGATACACCGTAGTGTTGAAGAAGCTTCCATAGTGTTGTCTCCAATTTTTCTTAGTTTTCATTAATTATCTAGCTAAATTCATTCCGTGATATAAAATGCCATTAACACTAATAATAACAAAACAATCACTTACCTGTGCTAATATCATAAATTTATTAATTTGTTCAATCGATGGTGTAAAATCCTCTGGTCCATAAGCATTTATGGCACCTGATCGACGATTGCATATAACAGCTTTTTTCACTAGTCTTGTACCCAATATACTATTTTTTAAAATTCTGTCATATACATCAGAATTGCTTGTTTGATCAAACTAGAAAAAAAAGTTATAGAATAGAATAAACTATCTAATAAACTTAAGAAATTGACATAAATTTAACGGCTTCATCACAACAGATGTAAAACAGTTACCAACCAATAGTATTTGAAGATAGCTTTTTATCGAAGAACACAAATTAAGTGACATTAAAAATGTAAACCATAGGATATTAGTTTAGTTGTTTGAAGGTTGAGTGATTTTCTTTAGAACTGAGAATCCTAAGACTGATACTGGTTGATGAAGTCTTACATGAACATTACTACTGAGGAGTCTTATACTACGAAGTAATAGTTATTCAATGACTCTTACTTACTAGCGGTTGTTCGATTAAAGTCAGTTTGTGTTGTAAATTAAAAGATTCAATAGAAAATTTCATGAAAAATCTTTTTTTAAAAAAAACTAAAGTTGACTTATTAGGGAACAAGTGAAGTGAGAAGGTAGATACTGAAAGAACCTAAATTCATCCAAGTAGTTGCAAATAATTTACAAATATATCAACTGTTGTTCACAGTTATATAACATATAGAAAGTACTTGATTTAAAAAAATTCATTTTATATGAACAGATCATTTTGTACTTTGATGAATTAGATCGTAACTCAATAATATATAGCACGAGAACTCATCAACTTTACTTCAATGCTTGTCTAGGATTTTAAACCGAATATCACTTAACGTCTATAACAAATTTTATTTTTATTTATTTAAACACATAAACATTATTACAAGGAGGCACCAAATAGATATGCGCCATATAAACCATAAGATTTTTGTGAGGACTAGGATATTGTCCGGGTGCTCAGATCGAAGCAGGTGGTTTTCTTAATGGGCCATATCCGGAGTCTTAAATCTAAAGATCTGATCCACAAGGCAGTGGAGTAATATCGGGAGATGCAGTCCCATGGTAGCCGGTGACCAACGAATGGTTTATACGCCGTTTGTTCCTTCAGGATACTGGAGCCCATGTTCACCATTGGTTTGGAATCAGGGTTGTCCAGCCCTCCTAGGTGAACCCTCCATATCCACCAAACCGGTTAAAGCACCGGACATTCGCTTTTCGTCCTCTAAATTTCATAAACAACACCCGTGGTGAGAGAAGGCGGTGAGTAGAACTTCTGTGGCTGTGGTTGTATCCACGTGGTCATGTGAGAGCATTTCGAGACGTAGAGCTAACTCTCCCCACCGTCAGCCGTACCAGGGCATTTGGGGTTACTAATGTTTTAAGGATATTTATGGTGGAATATGTACAACTATGCCAAGTATCGTCTATACACTATCTCACCCAGACAAATGTATGAATCAGGCTAGAGTGGAATATAATTGTCATAGGCAAAAAAGGTATTCAGAACCGCCATGATTAATATATACTTCTTTATGAAAAAATGTGTCATCTAGTAGTATTATATTTAGAAGTTCAAAAATCCATGATAATAATGGATAAACCACGTGTAAACCTTCAGTTAGATTGACAGAAGTACATCATAATAATTATTTTTGAAAAAAACTACATCAACCGATCTATCCACCTACACATCTATTCACATATTATTATTCATATTAAAACGTATTGTTTCTTGTGATTATAGCAATCGTATGAAAGAAACCCTGGGTTAGTCACTAGATTTGCGGAGATCAGTTTCATATTCAGATAGTTTTTGTCACAGGCTGAGTTCATTTAGGATGTAATTGACAACCGATTTCTTCGTCTGATCAAATATCACTGACACGATACTACTATGAATCGCACCAGTCCTTTAGTTTTTGTTGCGATCAAGTTACTTTTAGACTGCTGATTCATATGCAGTTTGTTGTTATAAATGTTTCATGCTAGAACGGAACAACTCCTCAGGAATCGCTAATTTCAGTACTATCCCTAATTAATATTAATCACTGACAAAAATCACTTATAAATTCTCTGTCATTTAACAATAGATGTAATGTATCATGTAACCAAACATGTAATACAAATATATATGTATTATAATTTACTTCGTATTGTCATTTATTGATTGAATAGCTGTATTATTATTATTATTATATCAAACCGATCATGTCACTGAGAAAACTAATTGTACACAGCTAGTAAACATTTGATGATAACAATAATAAAACAATCACACAGTCTATTCATTTGATGTATTTACATATAAAATATTCTGTTCATAAGAGAAAAACGACACAGCTATTCAAAAGCACACCGTTATTGATTAATTGCTAGTACCCAATGTCTTATTTATCTAATCCTTAGTACTAATCATATTATATCGATCAAATTGAATAGAACCTGGAAACGAATCTAAGTGGTTCTTAATTGTTTGAATTCAGTTTTGTGATAGTTACCATTGATCAGAGTAATATACCTGTGATGATATAACCGTGTTAAAAGTTTACTGTTTAGACATTATACACACTTCAATGTATTATAAATATAACTGTTTAAACTTATCACAATTGATTGATCACTGGGTGGCGATCAATGTGATGCGTGTCTAGTCCTTATTAGTGCAGATCGAATGCTATCGACCATGTTGCAATGTGGCCACCAGCCTAGGTGACTCGACACTGCGTGCACTATGTTGAGATTAGATGGTGGTTGGAGGTAGTCGACAAGAAACCGTGGACCCGGGTTTCGTGCTACTTGGCACTCGTCAGTAAAATGTACCTGTAATCTTGAGGGAACTGGTGCTCCCTGGCGGATCCGTTCTCGTGCCAAGTAGCACAAAACCCGGGTCCAGGGTTTCCTGTCGACTACCTCCAACCACCATCTAATGTTTAAACTTATCTTCATAATTTAAATCACAAACGGATATTAGCTAAACTATTATTGAAAACGCGGAGGTATTTGGCAATTACATTGTCTTAATTTGTAACTCTTCAGCAATGCACATCTACAACTTCACCACAGAAGATCGAATCAGTTATCATATAATTCAAAAATGTGTGTTTTTGAAACCAACGATCTAATTAAATACCTTAAGATAATCTAATGATCTACACCAGCTTACATCTTCGAATTCATATTGTCAAGATAGATGTTGAATTACAAGTGATATTCAAATTCAACTACATAAATCTATACTCAACTAAGGCTAACTTAATCCCTTACTAATAAAAATGACTACAGAACGATTATGAAATCCTAGAAATGTCACATTATCATTACACATAAGCTAGAAATAGATAACTAATAACTTTTATCTTTAGCTTTTCATACAATTCTAGAACCAGTACCAATTCAGAATGAAGTATTCATTCAATAGATTAGATGTTAGTAATTTGTTCATTCTTTAGAGAGAAAAAAAGGGTTTCATGATTATGCAACATTAAATCGAGTTTTGTAACTAATGTAATAGTAGCACATAAGTACACACATATATTTAATGTTTATTATTATTATTATTATTATTATTATTGAAATTTAAAGTGTTCACAATGAATTAGATTGACGTGTCATAAGAATAGAATGAAATTAAACTGTATCTAATTCATTCACTTCATAATGTACACATGTAACAAATAGGTGACTGACTTGCTGGTTACTATAAAATTGTATGTTTTAATGATAATCAATTATACATGTACACATTCATAAACACACACACATATGCACATACACAATGACCTGTTAATATTATATAGAACTATGTATTTGAAATTCTCTGGTAATATTGGACATTCACATGCTTTTCAATTTAGTTAGATTGATTTATAATTATCATCAGTGTAAGGGTTGCAGAGATGGTTACGTTTTTGATTGTGATCATGAATCGATGAATGTTAGGTTACCATTGAAAACTTGGAAGTATTGGATGGCTATCTCGTCCTAATATAAGACTTCTCAATAGTGCACATCCATGATCATTAAACTACGATGCACAGAAGGTTGGACTATGGAGATTTAATTATTATTTAATATGTTAATATAAAAATGAAAGGTGGGGGGGAATGGTCATCACTGTCATATCATCTTCCAGTTATTTGTAGATCAGATTTGATTCAGTTTGTAGAATGTGGAAAGTTTTCATTCATTTGATAAAATGGATGAAGTTCTGGAAAAAGATTTACAACTAAAATCAAATAACTAAATAGTGAAGTTTGTATCTCAGTGATCTTGTAGTAAGTAGTGTTTTTAGACAAGAAACTAATCTATCAGAAAGATGCTGATGGTGTTAACAATCTTTTAAGTAACTTATTACTGTTACTATTGTGAAGAATTAGATGCTATTAAGAGCTAACTTTACCTGAAGCCCTTCCAGGGTTACTAATACCGGTCACAACCCTGGGTAAGTGAGGAGAGTTGGTCATAAGGTTAGTAAATTCGTCCCCTAATGAGGATTTTTACTAAAAAGATATGCTAACTAGGATAAAGCCTGTTATGACGGGGTTAAAGGTCCAAATTAAATTGATTTACTCATTATGATTTTTATTCAACATTAATAATCACTCACTATAGTATTTGTTTCGTTTTCCCCTATAACATTTTATTCTGTATAACATACGACATTCTTGTATGAAGTAATTTTCATCTATGTCATTTATTCTGATTATTAATCAAAAATGACTGTACACACCAATATATAGATGGGTGTATTTCCAATTAGACAGGTCGGGATCGCTCGTGCTTCTGGCTGCTTGTGGAATATATTTCCCCGTTCCAAACTTCGACTTTTCTCTCTACTTAGCGGGGCTGGGACGCATCAGAATATCTAACTTATTGCTCTTTGGTTACAAAGTCTTTGTTTCGTTCGCAGACTAGGTGAACTCTTAATCTTTTCAAACATACCAAAGCCAAGTAAACATTGTACAACTCATTTAGAATTCAGTGTTGCCTGGTAAATCCTGAATATTTCTATATTATGTTTCAGGGAAAGGAGAGAAAAAAAGATGACTGTTCATTTATGTATCATTAAAATCTATGTATTACTAATAAGATTCAATAATCTAGTGTGATGTATTGTCTACTTACTTGCATAACCTAATGATGTTAGGTGTTTAGAGATAATTAGAAGAAAACTATGAAATCCGGTTTTAAGCAAGTTGATGCTTTCCGCCAACATATACTTGTAATCTAGAACAAACTGGTGCTTCCTATGACAGTTGAACCCATATCACCTCGTTTCAAAGTCTGATTTTTTTCGGTAAGTGATTAGATTTTGTAGGGCTGAGATATTAATCACTATGTAGTAACCAGCGTCATGTTTGTCTAATCCTTTAGTGTTAAAAGAGATTTGGGTAGGTAGATAAGTAGATAATTATTCTCTCTTTTTAAAATTATCTTTCTATAATGTACTTTTAGCCATTAAATTAAAGAAGCCTGTAGGTCCTGGGTTCGAGCCCCGGGTGGTGCGGGGTCGTGGATGCGCACTGCTGAGGAGTCCCATACTAGGACGAAACGGCTGTCCAGTGCTTCCAGGTTTTCAATGGTGGTCTAGCTTCAACTGACTCATGAGTTCAATCTGTGAAAATTTCTATAACTTAACTGTTTATTTATTTTTGATTAATATTACTACAATTTAAATGTTATTACTTAAGTCTTGTTTCTGTCGTAAACATTTTAATTGAATACATTCAGTTCCCTTTGAACATACTAACCATTTAACATAACCTTAGATGTTGTAAATATTTCTAATTTTGAAACATTCATCATCAAGATGTATAGACAGTCTTCAAATGATGATAATGGTCCAATCATCTGATTTAATTCACGGTTGCTTCTTCCTTGTGTCTTTGTTTGTGTATTGTATTGATTTAATGTCGATATATTGAATAATATTCTTCAATAGGCATAAAAAACATTTGAGTAAGAATAAAAAATACGGTGAGACTATAATTTATGGACGAACGGGATCATGGATGGGCACTTCTGAGGAGTCACATACTAGGAAGAAACGCCCGTTCAGTGCATTCAGGTTTCCCATGATGATCTAGCTTCAATTAACTCATGATCTCAACCACTGAAATTTCTATTTTATGTGTTAAACATTTTGTTAATGTAGGTTGGTTATGTTATAATTATACTGACGAGTTATACTGTCTTTAGTAATATTCGTTTATTATGGGCTTGTGTTAAATGATTGAAATTTTTGTGCAACCATCAATTGGTTACAATCATATCAAGAGATTAATCGCTTACATATCTCATAATCCATATCATTTCATGTTAGTTATAACGTTAGTTTGGGTAATATTGAACCTAGTGATCAACTTACTGAAAACATAACCATTTGTGCTAATTATTATTAATATAATATTAAAAAAAGTGATGATGAATTGTGACCTTACACAATACTAAATTGTATTTAATGATCTGAATAATCTAATCTAAAATAATCTGTTCATAACATTCAGTCATTTGATGTATTATTCCAATCATAATCAGGATCTAGATACATATACGTGTGTTGTGTCGTTTATATCATTCGTGATACTTGAAATAAATACAGTCCGATTTTAAATGTGTTATAGATACTATACAATCAACTCCTGTTTAAACAATTGGTACCTGGTTAACAGTCATATATATTATGTAAGCGTTAGAAAATCAATTCAACCTAGTTCTGAACAAATCCGATGAAGTTTATATTAAATTCACAGCAAAATGGTTATAGATTGTGGATTTCACACATTGAAACATATTCCAATGGGTAGAACTTTTAATATGATCGAGTGTAAGAGGGAATTTTACTTGAGTAATTGAATTATGACGGCATAGGTAAATGACATCATGCTTCCGGAAATATTTAATGATCCAATTGACTATGAGTGCGTTGTTATCTTCGGATCTTCAATAGTTCTCTAGTTACTTTTAGGTTCTAGTGAAAACTGCTTTCGCTCGAATCCAGAAGCTTTAAAAGCAATCTGTCTATCTGTCATACGTTATTATTATTATTATAAAATATTAGTGCAGAGGGATTCTTGAACAATGTAGAATTTTCATAATTTAAATCACGAGCTGATCTTACACAAACCACCATTAAAAAAAGGAAGCATTGAATGGACAGTTTTTCGTAATATAAAGATCCTTAGAAATAGGTATCCATAACTTTGCTATAGATAATCGAATCCAGGACTCTCACTCTCGCTCAAAAGTGTCTTACCCCTAGACCACTGAGTCGATGTCAGATGGTGAATATATCTAACTTCTATCAAATCATAATAATGTCTGACCATCTTCCGTTACATGTGGTGGATAACTGTCTCACACCTGACACGGATTGAATTTCGCTGTTCACAGCTTTTCACTAGAACTCCAAGGACTGAATCATGAGGTTAGTCGTTTGGGAGCACATGATGAGCGCTGCCGACGAGTCACATGCCAGTATGGAATGCCCGTACTATCCTTCCAGGTTTTCTCTGGTGGTCTAACTAAGATCAATTAGTGCTTTAGACTATTGGTAAATAGTTTGAATCCTCACCTCTTCATGATAAATAGTCACTTCTAATGAAGTTTTCTTAAATATGTTAACTGCCATGAAGAATTTCGACTGTAAAATATCGTAGATTCCAAACAGTAGATGGCAAGAATCTTACGTACTAAAATAAATCGTCATATTGTTCTACCCAAGGCTCTGTCACTACTCCCTTCAAGATACTTAAAATAAGATTATGTAAATGAATAAATAATTTCTATGTTGTGTATTTTATTTCCTTATAACAAATTTCCATGTCAACTTTATCTCAATAAATCTCAGATAAATCATATAGAAAGAAAGGATATTTTGAGTTAAATATGTCCCATTAATAGAAAATAAGATTAAGATACTTAATACCGCCAAGATTTTATGGAAAAAAAACTTAAACGCAGTCAAAACCATATACGTAAGGTTTTAAGTTTCCTTTTTCTTACGTTTTAACACTTATGGGAAAGTTCAAAGTAAATAAAATTGGTATTGTTTGGCTTGTCTCTTCCCATTGAGGTTTAAGACTGCAATTGATCAGTCTGTTATTGGCATATGTGCATACTGTGCGTATGCATCTATATTGCCTTAATTCACATTGCACAAGCAAGTGGCTATCAGGACTCAGTAGCTAAGTGGATAACGCGATGGTGTTTGAAGCGAAACTTACTGGATTCGAGTCCCAGAGTGAACATCAACTCTGAGATGCAGGTACATCCAGCTGACGAGTCCCAAATAGGACGAAACGCGCGTCCTGGATTCCACTGCTAGCCACTATCCATCGTTGTTGAAAGTAAATATTTAATTTCCATCATTCATATTTTGAATGAATTTTTATCAGTTTTGGTTGGATTACATGCATTTTGTGTATAATACCCCGATATAGCCATTATGTTACAAGCATATATGGAATAGATGGAATGTTACTGGCAATTGAATCCTACACTCATGTTTAATTCCATTTAGGACTCATCATTTGGAAATACGTAGTCTCCAGAGTTTATTTAAAGTTGAAATTCATACCGTTCTACAAGCTAGTTCTTATCTGGGCTCAATAGCTCAGCGGATAGTGCGTTGAGTGTTTAAAGCTAGAGGTACTGGGTTCGAACCAGTGAGTAAAAATTAACTCTAGGATGTAAATACATCTAACTGACGAGTTTCAAATAAAAGGTAATGCTTATTCAAAATTATACTGCTATCCACATCCTATTTATTCTATATTTAAACGCATGAATTCACCAGTGTTATTCCTCTAGTAACTAAAACACACGTTCTGGTATAAGAATCTGAAGATTCATGTTTGACAAGAATTTTCTTGTAAGCCATACCAGTTTTCTTCCTTATGATTAATCTAATAAATCTTATCTCTCTAATATTGTGCTTTACTATCACTATTTTTGAAGGAATGGACTTGATTTACTTAATACACATAACAAGTCAGTGCTAACGCTTAAAAATTTTGGTGTAAAAAAACTTGCATCATACAGTTGAACCAATCAAAAATCAAGGTTATCCACACAGTTAATTAAAATGATGATTGGTCGTTCTAGTATTATTTATTAATAATCTGATTGGTTACTTGTCAATTAGATTTGTTACAGTATATAAATCAGTCATTTTCATTTTGGAAGACTTATTCAAACTTTGTTGGTGTGATTTACCTACACAATGGGCTCTATTTTGTCACGATTCAGTTCACGTAAAGATGAAAAATCAGACACAGATTCACGTTCAGCAACTACTATACGCAAACGTTTTAGTTGGAGATCTAATAAAAAGCCAGCTGATGTCGGTGGTACTTCAGTGAACCGATCAAGTACTATGCCTGCAAGAACTAGATTACAACCAACTGAAGAAACTCCTGAAGACAGAAAACATGATGACATTTTTGATAGTGAACAAGATGAAAAGAGTTGTTCAAAGTCTGTTGTCAAACCAAATCAAAATGACGATACTTCACAACATTCAAGTGGACAACTGGAAAAACACAATGTAGAATGCGCTAAAAAACCTATCGTATGTGAAATACCTGGGGGAAAAGATGAGAAACAACCTATTCAAATTTCATCGACTAATGAACCAGAAAACAAAGATAATATGGCAAGGACGATTTCTACGGAAGAAGCTGAACTGTTGATTGGCCGTGTTCTACCAAATCAGGAAAATGTTAGTCCTCATGAAAATATAACTGTATCAGCAACAAATAGTTCTCTTACTCATGATAATATAAATTTCAATCATACTGAAGATCTAATAGTTAATAAACAACAACTACAAGAAACATTGGACCACTCTATTCATGATTCTTGTCTAACGATGGACCAACAAGAAATTACTAAAGACCAGAATGGATTTGTTGATGATACTCAGCATCATTTTGAAGATAAGACAGATTTATTAAAAGATGATATCCACTCTGAAATAGTTCGAGAAGAGATAAAATTGGAGCAAAATCCACCATTATGTCTTTCTCCAGAAGAGAAAGAAGAATTTGTGCATCAGGATATCCGTAGAAATAACAGTAATGAACAGTTAAACGCTGAAAATGATATTATAAAACAGGAAGGTGAAGAAAATCTGAGTATTGAAGGTTCTAGTCATAATGAAGTTATGCAGTCTTCACCGGCGGTATGCTTTTCTCGTTCAAATGTAGTTGAATATCCACCTCCTGAGCAGACACACCTTGTTGATATAGATGAACAAACGTATAATCAACAAACAAATGATATTTCAAACATTCAATCTTCAGAAACTGTTGGAGAGAAAGATTTAATCCATGAGCAGATTGTACAGAATGAGTTATTGGAATGTTCAGCTGAACCTCATCCATTCCATAATCTATCTAACAATGAAGAATTCTCTAATTCAGAACTTATTGACACAGATAACAAGGTGAATTTCGTTGAAACTGAGAATGCATTAGATAACGTAATTTCAGAACATGTCGAACAGAATGATGTATTCCAAGAAACAATGGAAAAAGAGTTCAACGAAATCTTAATCAATTCAAGTGAAACAAAAATTTTGTCGGCTGATGAACCACCTATTAATTTGAATGATGACATAAATGCAAAACAAACCGAGAATCTCTCTCACCATAAAGACACAGAGCATGAAGCACCGATTGACGAGGAGGAAACACTCAATGAATTAGATAAATGCTTATCTCAACCAGGTTTGACATATGATCCAATGCATAGTGTATCTTCTATCACCACGGAACCTATTAATTTAAATGATGATATGCATGTTGAACAAACTGAGAATCTCTCACACTCTGAAAACATGGAGTCTATTAATTTGAATGATGATATACATGTCGAACAAACTGAGAATCTCTCTCACCATAAAGACACAGAGCATGAAGCACCGATTGACGAGGAAGAAACACTCAATGAATTAGATAAATGCTTATCTCAACCAGGTTTGACATATGATCCAATGCATAGTGTATCTTCTATCACCACGGAACCTATTAATTTAAATGATGATATGCATGTTGAACAAACTGAGAATCTCTCACACTCTGAAAACATGGAGTCTATTAATTTGAATGATGATATACATGTCGAACAAACTGAGAATCTCTCTCACCATAAAGACACAGAGCATGAAGCACCGATTGACGAGGAAGAAACACTCAATGAATTAGATAAATGCTTATCTCAACCAGGTTTGGCATATGATCCAATGCATAGTGTATCTCCTATCACCACGGAACCTATTAATTTAAATGATGATATGCATGTTGAACAAACTGAGAATCTCTCACACTCTGAAAACATGGAGTCTATTAATTTGAATGATGATATACATGTCGAACAAACTGAGAATCTCTCTCACCATAAAGACACAGAGCATGAAGCACCGATTGACGAGGAGGAAACACTCAATGAATTAGATAAATGCTTATCTCAACCAGGTTTGGCATATGATCCAATGCATAGTGTATCACCTATCACCACGGAACCTATTAATTTAAATGATGATATGCATGTTGAACAAACTGAGAATCTCTCACACTCTGTAAACATGGAGTCTATTAATTTGAATGATGATATACATGTCGAACAAACTGAGAATCTCTCTCACCATAAAGACACAGAGCATGAAGCACCGATTGACGAGGAAGAAACACTCAATGAATTAGATAAATGCTTATCTCAACCAGGTTTGGCATATGATCCAATGCATAGTGTATCTCCTATCAACACGGAACCTATTAATTTGAATGATGATATACATGACGAACAAACTGAGTACACTTCACCTTCTGAATACAATGTAAATAATAATATATCTACGGAAAAGTTCATTGACACAGTAGTGGAGAGCTCAGCTGAACCAGTTATGGAATGCGATTTCTCGTCAAATGAGTCACGTTTTACATCAGAACTGGTATTAAGTGAAGAAAATAGAGAAGCTACTACAGACGTTGACTTAGAACATCCTACTGAAGATATTAGATCAGAAGATATTCATCATAAGCAAATAAATGACACTGAAATTTTAACTACACTCGAAGAATCAGTTAACCAGCAAAATACAATGAACTTGACTCATATTGATGATGAAATTGATCAGCATCAAATACTTGAAGTATCGTACAATGAAAATCATTCTAATGTTCCACTTAATGGAGATACCATCGATGTAATCACTTCAGACAATTTACATACAAATGTGATAAGTGAAAATGATGTACTTAAACAACAGGATGTGTTCAATTCAATGTCAATGAATGATGATAACGATATCATGAAGAATTTAGAAAATTCTAAAAATAATGAAATTCATGAATTTGAAGATGAAGCCCAATCTTTAGTTCAATCTGTTTTAAGCAATGCTAAAGAATTTGTCATTAATGAGAATAATTTTGATAATCACTACAACTCTGATAACATGAATACAAATCTTAACTTGACCAATAATAATAGTAACAATAATGATTATCTTACTACTAATAATAACAATTCAATGAATGAAGAAGATACTATTGAAATGAAACAAGATATAACAATGAAAACATCAATGGAATTTGATCATTCTGATCTATCTGAATTAAATAATCAACTTTTAAAGAACACAAATGATCTTGCCATAGCATAAATACAGTAACAACAACAACAACAACAACAACAAAAATGACACATCGTTCTTCTTTTCTTTTTTTTTTGGTGACATTATTTGTACACATCAAAGAAACCTATGATATGTTCATCATTAGTCAAACTCAATGAAAATCTAATTGTTCTTGTTAAATTTAAGTAAGTTTCATTGTTGTAATTAACCTGACCATTAATAAGACAGAGATAACTACTACTACTACTAATTCTCGGTTATTGATTGATACTATATATAGTTCCGTTTTGCCTATCAATGCTTTCCGATTAGTTTATTAACATTATCTTGATCATTGTTATTCTATGATTGACTATGGTTTACATTTCATATATATATAACAATAATCTTATCCAATTATTTCATCTTTGTATTTTTTTCATTATGCATTTTCCTATTTGAAACGATTTATGAGACAGGAGTAATTTTTTTTTTTGGATTCACAATCAAGACTGTAACCATATATATATATTTTATACAACGAATTGACATTGCTTTTGTTTGAACCGAGTGTTTTGTATTAGAACAAAAAGTATATCCATCTTTTTTTCTTTTTGTGGAGAAAATAAAAAAAATAAAAAATTGTTCCCATGAATAATCAATCGATGTTTGCTTTATTTTTTACTGCTTTACCATCTGACGAACTAGTTTGTTGCTATGGCATGAATGATTGGAATATCTTCTCTGTGTTTTTTTTCTTAAAATTGTCATGTTCTTTTATTGATTTTAACTTTAATGCTTACTTACTTAAATAATGAGTAGTTTCTTTTTGTCATTTTTCCCAGTAATGAATTCATTTGTGTAGTATCAGTTTTGTTGTGCTACAACCCACACACACACACAGTATGCTTATAATCTTGTCTTATTTTTTTATTAATAAAAAGACAAATTACCATTTTGGTTACTTGATTGTTAAATATTAATATTCCTAATTATTATTACGAAGAAGAAAATAAAACACAATTACATTGATTATAATAATAATTTACTATTCTAACTCTATTTGGGTTCCTTTTATTTTTTTAAAACTATGTGCGTTGACGTCATTGAATCTAGTGATTACTCAGATAGGTCGTCGTCATCATCATCATCATCATCATAGGTTGCACCTACGTGTGATTATCTCTCTCTCTGCGTGTGTGTGTGTGTGTACACACACTCGAACATGTATCATTCCAATATTTAGTAACCGCTGATAATGAAAACGATGATGATAATGATTATCACATTCGATAGTTTTTTATATTTAAGAAGATAGGACCTTTAAGTGTTTGTTCAACTTGGTGAAGAATCTGCACATATATTCTATGTGATCACTGTAATGTATATATATTCAGTTATATTTACCATGAAGCCTAACACAATTGTACGTTAGTCAAAGTTGACACACTAAATTAGCAATGTAAGATACAATTAATAAAACAAGTAGCACAGGAGTTGAAATAATTGTTTCGAGAACATAGAATTAAATGACATTTGGATGAATACTGTCACTCAAAATCTAAAAGGTAAAATGTGAATGCATTTACCTTATCCTGACCTAATTATGAGCTATATCATGCAGCGTTTCCAATCGCTAGTCATATTAACCACCTAGACCCCAGCCAAGAAGCCCAAAATATGTCAACACAACTTAGACTAATAGTCATTGACTTCATAGACCGTTCTCATCTCTTGGTTCGATTCCCTCCCCAATTTTCTTCGAGGCTTACTCCAACTCAAGTCATTGTTGCACATACAGGTAGATGGTGGTTAAGGGAGGGAATAGTCATCAATTAGAAATATATTACTCCTTATCTATTTAAAATTCCTGTGTATAAATTTCTAGTAAAGTAGTGTGAATGATACTCATGAGTGTAGTATGCTTAGTACTAAATATATATCATTTTAATTCAGGAAAGGAAAGTTATGTATTAAATTAGGATTAGATCGCATTAGCAGATTATGATTTTAGAAAAAAAGCCTAGATATTCTGTGTATGTGATGAAAATGTGTAACTAAGTAGCAGAAAAAAAGTGATAATTTGCATAATTACAACAACAACAAAATAATTCATCTCTCGAAAGTATATCAAGTATCATTCTTCTACTTACCGGAATAAAGTGTTAAGAACAAAAGATTATTTCAAACGGTTCCTTCCTCCTTGCTTTCGTCTATTCCATGATATCAGACGCCCAATAGGATGCCTGTTTTCAAGTCAACAAAATAAAGTGATTTTCCCTAATTTAGTACTAATAACATCATAAAAAGAAATTCGAGCAAAGTAAGAATTTGACCTGATGGTTTAAGGATTTAAAGGTTTGAACTTCATTTTCTAGCTAGTTCAGTTGAAGCAACTGAATAGGATAATTTGTCTGCTTCTAAATTGATGACTTATGTTCATTACATAATTATTGAGTTATATTTAAAAACCGGATCTCTAAGATAGTGAAATAACACAGTCAATTAAATCTATAACATTAGAAAACATAAACTATCTTACTATTGACGGGTAAATAAGGCATGTTATTTAAAGGTTGAAATTAAGTTAACTGTTGAGTACTTTCCCAAATGAACCATAAACTCAAAAATAAAGTTCTCACTTGTCTGAACTTAAAATGATATTCCCCAGTCAAATATGATATAATTCTTGTATTTATGCACACATATACACATATCAAATAGAAATCTTCAAAAATTTGAATGATTGCTTGGCTACATTAATGATGTGATGCTATTAGATACAATACACACCAAGAGAAACTAATGTTAAAGAGTATTGTTTAAGTATATGTGTTATCTTCTACATAACAAACAGTTTACTCAGGACTTTTCAAATATCATACACTATTGTTCACATATATGTGTAGTATACATGTTATAACTGTCTAATTAAAAGATTGCAAATAAAAAGTATTGTTAGTATTATAAGCAAAGATGGGTAGCGGCTAGCAGTGGAATCCAGGACGCGCGTTTCGTCCTATTTGGGACTCGTCAATTGGACGCACCTGCATCAAAGAGTTGATATTCACTCCGAGACTCGAACTCAGTGCCGCTCGCTTCAAATACCATCGTGTCATCCACTCAGCTACTGAGTCCTGATAGCCGCTTGCTTGTACAATGGGGTGAAGTTTAATTCACTTGGTATTGTTTTACATACGCCAATACGAGACTCATCAATTGCAGTCCTAAACATCAATGGAAAGATTCAAGTAAAACAATACTAAGTGAATTATTGATAGTATTATTAGTAAGGATTTGTAATTACCGATTTCGGTACTCAAGACTGTCATTTTAAATAATAATAAGAAGAAATCAGTCCCAAATAGTAAAGCATATTCGTTGGATAGTTTGCTGACAACTGTATCTCTAGAGCTTAGTGGATAACGCATTGGCGTTTAAAACAATCATTATTCATTTTCAGTCTTTATTTGATTTATTTATTTATTTCAACATATAAATATCGGTAAAAGAGGGCACCAAATATATATGCGCCACACCATATTTGTAGGTGTGCGGGCTGTGATACCGCTCGGGTGCCCAGACCGAAGAAGGTGGTTTTCTTAGAGGGTTACTCCCCGAGCCTTTGACCTAAAGGTCTGATCCACAAGATAGTGGAGCATCGTGAGGAGATGTATTCCCATGGTAGCCGGTGACCAACGATTGGTTCATACGCCATTTGTTCCCGCAGGATACTGAAGCCCATGTGCACCATTGGTTTGGGATCCGGTTAAAGGGCCGGACATTCACTTTTTGTCCTCTCATTTTCGTAAACAACACCCGTGGTGCGAGAAGGCAATGAGTAGGATTTCCCTGGCAGAGTCAGATTAACATTAAGCTACATGCAAGTGTATCTAGTTGGTAAAGTTCAAAGCATCATAAATTCAGTCCTAGATACCATTTTTAGCCCTTATCTGGAAAATATCACATATCTTTGAGCTTCTATTCTGATTAACTAGTTTAAAAATTTATCAGTTTATGTAAACATTAATAGATAATAATGGATGAAACAAGAGGACATACTCAATTATTAGTATATCAGTTTGTTTGTGTATACATAAGATTTTTTAAAATAAGAATCAGAATAAACAAACTAAGGGGAAAACGTATGATGGAAACAAAAAGATATTTATAAAACAGCAAAATAGTATACTGAATTGAAGAAGTCTATCTATATATGGTTAGTTGCTTTATTATAAAGATACAACCAAACTTATAGTCGCATGGAAACAGATGTCTATCAAACTATAAGTGCAGGTTTGTTTTATTCATTCAGTATTGGACTATTAAATACAATGGTTCACACAATCAATTTAATGATAAACAGAGTTTGTATGCGTATATGCTTTCCTATTGAATTAATTAGTTGCAAATAGTAAAATATTCTTATCTCAGTTGTGATTGAATGAAATGTAACCAAATATACACTGAGTGTACTGGTAGCTCAACTGTCAAGGGGCTTCATAGTTTGAATCCCATCCCACCAAGTTTGGTTTCGACAACAAGTTTGTATCACTAGCACTCACATTTAAAGTATATTTCAAAGCCAAGGACTTAAATTTGTATCTGGTAAGAATTTTAATAGTAATTTACCAAAGTATCATTAAAAGAGCATTCATAGTATGAACTGGGTATCAACTAGGAAATCGTAAGATACCAAAAGCATTTAACATTAGTTAGGAACATCTTAACGATGCGTATTTGCAATCCTATACAGGATAGAGCCTTTAGATGTTGCAGTGAGCACTATACCTTTAGGTTGTTTATTAAAAATCTAATACTTACTTATCTATCTAATACGAGTGTTGTCATTTTCAATGTTACTAACAAGAATTACTGATTGACTAGTAGACGGGCTATGAATTTTTCGGAAATTCCATCTCGAAGCAGTTGGTTACATCATTTCGTTGTCTCAATTCAAAAATGAATAAATTCCTTAGTTTAAGTGATTTGTTTTACTATTTTTTCAACTGATATTTCATTTGATTTTAGGCTATAAATGCTGTCTCCATGTGATATCACATCACCGAGAGATATAATAAGTGTGTGTATACAAAAGCGTTTCGAGTCATTTAGGTGAGAGGTTTAATTAATGAGATTCGATCACCACTGAGGAAAAAGCAAACATGGAATTGGTTACTAATGAGCGATTAATCAACCGCAAATATTTCAGTTAAACAGAAGGTCAGTTACGTCCGGAGCATTTCAGTAGTAACATCTCAAATTATAAAGCTCAGTGATATGAGTTAGAACCCTATGGAAAGTAACAGTCTCCTCAAGAATACAGATAAGTCTAATCGATGAGTACCAACTAACTGAAAACATAAGTCAAGCCTTTCTTAAGGTTATTATAAAAGTTATGTACGTATGGCACAGATTTAAAGAGTTCAATGAAATGAGCGGATAACAAATATCTCGAGTTATATTAGTGGAAACTTTATAATTTTCAATGAGGAAACAATCTTAGAACTTAATAACAGTCGTGAATGTTGACTTGATAAAATCAACTATCAACATAAATTATATAACTTCAATTTCAGACTTTCATCAGCATCGCAATATATATCACCATTGAATGGTTGTTTCCAACTAAAAATGATTTGAATCCCATTTACTCAACTCATTTAAATATCTTATTGTCTAGTATAACCATAATTGACTGTTACTTTTATGACTGTTTGAGTACAGTAAACCATCAATACGCACTGATCGATATCATACTGTCTAATATTTAGTGTTCACGGGAAAAGTCTATGTCGATTAAGTTTGCGATGTGGTCAGTAAATGTATTGAATGAATGGATATCCAGACTGTATTTCTGTTACATGTTAGATAATTTGGGATATTTGTTAGAAACCCTTTAGACTTAGGACTATTTTGGCCTACTAGCACTCATTAGAAACATATAGGTACAATCATCAGGAAAAAAATTCCCTCATGATATCAAATCAGTGTGTTTTAGTGACAATATTCTAAAGGAGAAATGATAAATATTCCTTGAAAAAATTTGTAGTTTTAAATCTTAAATGAAATGATTTCGCAAAAAATGAGTTTTATTACAATTGACGATACACGACACTAAAATAAATCCCTATCTTTAAATGAATTAACCGAATGTGTTTCCGTGTTAGAATGTGAGGTTTGTGCAAAACACAGTGAACAATGTCATATTTACCTAGTTCTTGCAGGTGATCGAGTTCTATTGATCAAGTTATAGTGTGCCGGGCACTTGTCTTAGTGAATTAACG